AATTATTTGCTTTTAGCTCTAACAGGAGTTGCTGCAACAAACATTCAAGGAAAAACAATTCACTCAGCATTAAGAATACATAAAAAATTAAGTGAATTTCAAACTTTGGCTTTTCACTATAACGAATATTTTATGTTTTTAAAAAGTATTGATACGATAATTATTGATGAAGTTTCAATGGTGTTAGAAAAACTTTTCAGTTTTATTTTGGATATGTTTTCAGTTATAAAACAACAAATGATCACATTTGAAGGATTGAATGTAATAGTAGTCAGAGATTTAGCACAATAAACTCCCATAACTGGATTACTTGTATACAAATCATCAGAATGGAAATTGTTTTATCCCTTATATTTAAGACAATCTCAAAGACAAAACCAAGATATACGATACTATAATATCTTACAAGAAATTAGGTTAGACAACATATCATTAGATATACGGACTACTTTATATCAAAAAAATAGATCCTTTGATCATTAAAATCCACTCAATGTTGCTCTTAATATAACAAATATCGTTGGATACAAACAAACTGCTGATCGCATAAACAATATGATTTGCAATATGCTACCAGTAAATGATGATAAGTTTTTAATTAGTTCAGCCATTGATTTTGTTAATGGAGAACAACTCAATCCAGATGAATCCCAAAAATTATTTAAAAAGAAAACTAATCTTCTGAGTCATTTACATTTACAACAAGGTGCTCGAGTAATGTATTTAAAGAATAACTTAATTGAACATAATATATGTAATGGTACCGTTGGTATTATATTAGATATTAATTTAGATCCTTTGCAAGTAGGAATTGCTTTTAGTGTAATAGGTGAAATTGTCGATATTGGAATTAAAAAAGAAATATCTACATTTCTTATAGATGAAAAACCATCAAGTAGGTGTTAAATTCCCTTACAAATTGCCTTTACTCTTACAGTGTATAAAACACAATGCTTAACTTTACCTGAAATATCTTTATGTCTTGATCAAGAAATATTTTCTGCTGGTCAAGCTTATGTTGCATTAAGCCGATGCTCAGATTGGTCAAAAGTATACATCGCCTCATTACATCCTTCAGCATTTATTACAGATAAATTAATGCTTAAAGAATATGAATGATTAGAACAAAATCAAATACTTCTTTACCTTTATAAATATAGTATATATTTAAATAATTTTTTTTAATAAAAATTTTAATCTAATAAAATGTTTATAAAAAACTCTCCTATTTAAAATTTATTAAATAACTTTACAAATACAACAAAATATTTATGTAGATATAAATACGAATATTATTGATTATAATATAAATTTATTGATATGAATATAAAATATTTAATCTGACGCTTAATGGGAGACGAAGTCCCCTACATATCACAACTTCTAGTTTCAAATTAAAAAACATTTGCGCAATGAAGGATTTGAATAAATATTTGCTTTTGCGTGACGTTATACAAAGATTAACTTTTATCGGTAAGAATTTATCCGTCTTTGTTACCCCTAATATAGTAAATTAAGTAACTAATATGAAAAAAATAAGCTCTCGTGCATTGTTTCACAAGAATAATGCTATCTTCAACTTCTTTTTTTTTATTTATTTAATCTCATTTTTTTATACATAAAAATAATAACACTAGATGAATAACTTATAAATTATATAAATAGCATTAATCACAAGCGTTACTCATAAGTTTTGTAACATAATAATTGAAGGCATTAATGATGATCTACCATTTGGCCTATATAAAAAAAAAAAGATTAATAGATGAAAATGAAAACTTTAAATATATATATATATATATAAAAAGAAATACTCACAGAGGTGCACCATAAGTAACGCCTAATTTGTTACATTCTTCTTTAAATTTATCAAGCGATACAACAGTGATGCTATTCGTTAGAATAGTAAAACACATCGTACAGTTTTTGAGTTGTTCATAAAATTTATCATTACATATGCAAGGTGTCAACTTTTGATCTAACATTTTTTTAAAAGAAAAACTAAATAAAAATTTTTTAATTTATAAACCTTTAGATAAACTTTAAAGCATACCATCAGGACTATAACTTCCAGAATTTGTAGATTTAGGGGTGAACTAAAAATACCGCCACAATTTGTCAATGTTTCATTGACAGCTTTACAAGGATCATTAGGAGTATTACAATCTTTTTTGGGAGAAGGTCTAAAGAAAATTATTTAAAAAAAGTATAATTGAGCAAAGAAAAAAAAATTACGATGCAAAAAAAATAATTTCAGTTATTTTTACGGTGGTGTAGTTGGATTTTATTTTGGTGGTGATGTTGATGATGGTGTTGCTGATGATGATGGAGCTTTAGCTGGCGTTTTAGGCAGACTGTTAATATTTATAGGTTATTAGACATTTTAATTTGTGTTTATACTGTTTATACTAAAGAAATTACCAAACTTACATTGCAGGTGTTGTTAAGCTTAAACAGTCCGTTGTTAAGTTAACAATGATTATTTGCTAACAGGGAGCTTAATTGCGTCTAAACTATGAAAGAAATAAACACGAGTTTAATTAATTGAAGGGTCAGATCGTTTTTATCAATATTTATTATTTTGAAGATAATTAGTTAACTCTGTCCTTTATTAAAGTAAAGATGCAAGACATTTATATAAAATACATTAATATAAAATAGATATTTAATAAAGTAAAGAAATATAAGAAATTAAATATATTAAAGAAATTAAAGATTACTAAGAAATCAGAGAAATTATAGAAATTATAGAAATTATAGATATTATAGAAATTATAGAAATGTAAGAAATTTAAGATTAGCGATCATCAGATTCACAAATTACTAAATGTAATTGATATAATGTTGTGTATCCTAAATAGACTATCACAAACTTGTAGATTACTAGTAGTTTATAAATCACAAACAAAAATTTTTACAGTAATTTTTTGGAGTATTATTACTAACAGTGTTTTGCCAGGTACATTTCTACAATTTTAAAATTGAATTGTTATAAGATATTAGAATAATTTTCGGGAAAAATTATTTAAATAACTTACGATAGATTATTAACATAATAGCCTTCATTGAAACAAGTCTTCGCAAATGTTTCAAAAGTATCTACAGTAATAGTAACTCCTGGACCTTGGTAGCATGAAATGCAGCCAGCAACATAATCATAAAATATAGCTATACACATATATTTATATATATGCAATAGTTTAGGTACTAAATAATTTTAACAAATAAATTATTAATTTGGTAACAAAAGAAAAAAAAAGATTAAACAATTTTAACTGAATTTGTTATTTATTACTCACATTCAACTTCAAAATCGTAATTGAATGGTTCAGCACCACTCAATGCTTCAGGAGGTATTGGTGGTAGTTGACCGTCACATAGAGCTAAAGTTGCATTTGCTATTTTACATGGATCATTTATGCCATTACCGCAATTCGGATCTATTTGACCATAAACATAAATAAATAAAATAAGTATTTCTTTATATAATAAATTTTTTACATCAATTTCGCCATTTTTTGAACTTTTCATAATTTTGAATTCACTATAGATACAATAAGACTTTCTTTTAATTTGGGAGTATAAAATGGTTTTGATTCTTTAATATAATAAACAGTAATATTAAAACTTGAATCAAATCATTTTCATCAAGCCTAATGTATACAATAGTATTTTCTATAAAATAAATAAAATAACTTTTAATATCTTTTTTTTTAAATTCAGAAATATATAAGATTATAAATAATTGAATTGCATATTCAATAATTTTTTTGGAATTAAAGAAATGCATTTTTAATATTTTAGAGTATTTATTTTAATTTAAAAAAATAAAAAAATTCAAAACATATATTTTATTTTGAAAAAAAATTAAACTAATAATCAGTTTTTT